ACATGCAATAATTTTATCATGTAGATCTGGTGACAAGGAACCTAGCAAAATTTGTTTCAACAAATTTGGAGCCAAAATGAGTACACAAACATTTTCCAAAGCATTTAAGTAGGAATCTGAAAATTCATTTTTGAAATCCTTTTTGAACTCCAGCTGACGAAATCGTTGGGTGCACCCGGTGCTGTGCACCCAGAGGGGCTGCCAGGCGGGGCCCAGCGGGTCAACCGGCCCACTAGCCACCCACCCGGGGCCTTCGCCAGCCACTGCGGCTGGGCCCTACGGGTCAGCGACCCGGGGGCAGGGGAGAGGCTCTGCCGGCCGGTGCTCACCGACGGCGAGTCCTTCCGGTGGCGCGGGTGGTTCTAGCGTGCATGCCACGCTGAGCCGCACCGACTGGGATGGTGGAGGTGGCCCGACGGCGTGACGAACCACCTAGCCGCGGCAGCACGCTCGCTGGAGAGGAAGGAGGCGGCCGAGCTTGGTCCTTACCTCGACGACGGCGGCCGCAAACGAGCGTAGGCGAGGCAGGGATGCTAGGTGCAGCTTCAGGCGGCGGGAATCGAGGAATGGAGGCGTGGGAGGGGGTATGCTGCCGGCGAGGCATCGGCGGTGGCGAGCTCGTGGTGCGTGCGGGAGCTGCTGGCGCTGCGTTTGAGAGAGCGAGAGGAGGCAACGCGTGTCGGCGCGAAGGCGCGCTGCGCGTGGCGGCGGAGGCCGTGGCTGCCGCCGCTGGCGGCGCCACCGGCGGCGCATGGTCGCCACGCTGCGGTCGTCTTCTCGCTGGTCGAGATCGCGGCGTGGCGCTAATTGGCAAAGCGAGCAGACCAGCCAGTGTCTTTGAAATTTGGGCGAGGCGAGGTGGGGTGGTGCGGATGCGGTGCTATAGCGCGCAGGCACGCAGTGGCAGGTTGAGCTGGCTTCGGTTGTGGGCCGAGAAAGGAGGCGGCGGCCCGCGAAAGGAGAAAAGCATTTTTCAATTTTCTATTTTCAAGGAAATTTCAAATAGCAGTTTTCAAATATCATTTTGAGCAAGAAAATGACTTCTTTTGAAAATGGCCCAAAAATAAAAGTTGCTTAGAATTTAGTCCTCTACAACTTTGCTTTAGGGACCAACTAAAAATTTTGCATAGATTTTGAATTGGGAAGCAAAAGCTAAATAGAGAGGATTTTTGACCCTTTCCAATAATAATTTCAAAAGCATATTTTGTCAAAAGTTTGAATACAAACTTTGCTCCAAAAATTGTGCTAAATAATTCTAGATGACTTACAATTATAGCCAAATATGTTTTACTAACCTAGCAAGCATAATCATGGCAAAACAACTCTAAACAAGTGTATGCAACATTCATGTTTCATGAGCATGTTTTGTATGTTTCGAAGTAGGGTTTCAGTTATTATTTACATGATTAGGCATGTATGATTAGGATGTTTGATAATGCATGATATGTATGATTTACAGTGCCTAAATGTTGGTCATAACACCGGGGTGTTACATCAATTCTCCCGCACTTAGAATTTTTAGATTTAGAACAATGTATTGATTGCATCAAAGGAAAGTATGTCAAGAAAATTAAGAAAGATGCCAAACGAAGCACAAAAATTTTAGAAATAATCCACACAGACATATGTGGTCCTTTTCCTATAAAAAGTGTGGATGGTTATGACTCGTTTATAACATTCACAGACGACTACTCTCGTTATGGCAATATTTATCCAATTAAAGAAAGATCGGAAGCATTGGATAAATTCAAAATATTTAAAGCTAAAGTTGAAAATCAGCACAATAAGAAAATCAAGATAGTACGATCAGACCGAGGTGGAGAGTACTATGGGTGACATACCCCATATGGCCAAATTCCTGGACCATTTGCAAGGTTCCTATAGGAAAATGGCATAGTTGCTCAGTACTCCACACCGGGGGAGCCTCAGTAGAATGGAGTGGCTGAAAGACGTAACCGTACCTTAATGGATATGGTAAGAAGCATGATGAGTTACTCCACATTACCGATTAGTTTATGGATGGAGGCACTAAAAACCGCCATTCACATACTTAATCGAGTACCAAGCAAATCGGTGCCTAAAACACCGTATGAATTATGGACAGGAAGGGAACCCTCACTTAACCATTTGCGTGTGTGGGGCTGTCCGGCTGAGGCAAAAGTGTTTAACCCAAACATAGGAAAGTTAGACTCCAAGACAGTCAGCTGCCATTTTATTGGCTATCCAGAAAGATCGAAAGGATATCGCTTCTATTGTCCTGACAGACATACGAAGATTGTAGAAACAAGACACGCTGTGTTCTTGGAGGATAACATGATCAAGGGGAGCATGGTAGCACGAGAAATCAGCCTACAGGAGAAGCAGGTACATGTACCCACTCCGATGGTTGAAGAACCATTCTTCACGCTACCTGCTGCTGTTGCACCGACAGTGCAGGACACTGTAGTGCCAACACCTGTTGCAAGTTCTCCCGTGGCGACAATGAATGAACATGAGGAACCTATCCTTGAGGAACCTATAGAACCAAATGTTGCACATGAGGAAGAACAACAACAGCCAAATGTGGAACAAGTGCCGGAGGCACCTAGAAGGTCTCAGAATAAGAAGATCAGCTATTACTGATGACTATGAAGTTTATGAAACAGAAGAATGTCAGATGGGGGATGATCCCACCTCATTTGAAGAAGCCATGAGAAGCGACCACTCATCAATGAGTACCAATAAAGTTTGGGACTTAAAAAATATTCCTAAAGGAGCTAAAACAGTAGGCTGTAAATGGGTCTACAAAACGAAATATGACTCCCAAGGGAATATAGAAAGATTTAAAGCGCAACTTGTGGCGAAAGGCTTCACGCAAAGAGAAGGGATTGATTACAATGAGACGTTTTCTCCAGTCTCATGTAAAGATTCCTTCAGAATTATAATGGCACTTGTAGCCCACTATGATTTGGAGTTACATCAAATGGATGTAAAGACGGCTTTCCTAAACAGAGATTTGGAAGAAAATGTCTATATGGCACAACCGAAAGGTTTTGTCGTAAAAGGAAAGGAAAATATGGGATGCCGCCTGAAGAAATCAATCTACGGATTGAAGCAAGCTTCAAGACAGTGGTATTTGAAGTTTGATAGAATGATAAAATGTTTTGGGTTTGAAGAAAATGTTGAGGACAATTGCGTTTATGCAAAGTTCAAGAATGGAAAGTACATATTCCTAATTTTGTATGTGGATGATATCTTGCTTGCTAGTAGTGATATCAATCTATTAATGAAAACGAAGAAATTCTTGTCCTCAAACTTTGATATGAAAGATCTTGGTGAGGCCTCGTTCATTTTGGGAATAGAGATTCACCGAGACAGGAGGAAAGGGGTTCTAGGATTATCACAAAAGGCATACATAGAAAAGGTCCTGAAGAAATTTAGTATGCATGCGTGCAGTCCTTCACCTGCTCCTATAGTCAAGGGCGATAGGTTTGGGGAACATCAGTATCCCAAGAACCAATATGAAATTGACCGAATGAAAGCGGTACTGTATGCTTCAACTGTTGGAAGTTTACAATATGCTCAAGTGTGTACACGCCCTAACTTAGCTTTTGTTACCGGGTTACTTGGCAGATATCAAAAGAATCCAGGAATTGAACATTGGAAATTAGTGAAGAAAGTCCTGTGTTATTTGCAGGGTACGAAAGGCCTCATGCTTACGTATAGAAGATATGATTCCCTGCAGATAGAGGGGTATTCAGATTCTGATTATGCGGGAGATGAAAGAAAATCCATGTCAGGATATATGTATTTACTCTCGCAGGAGGGGCTATATCGTGGAAAAGCTCCAAACAAACCGTGACTACATCCTCGACAATGTATGCCGAGTTTGTAGCATGCTATGAGGCAACGGGGCAGGTGAATTGGCTGAAGAAATTCATACCTGGATTGAAAGTGATTGATGATATAAATGAACCACTGAGATTGTATTGTGATAACAATCCAGCGGTACAGTACGCTCACAACAATAGATCAAGTGGTGCTGCCAAACACATTGACATAAAGTACTATGTTGTGAAAGATAAAGTTCGGGATCGTATAATAAATCTTGAGCATATAAGTACAGAGAAAATGCTCGCGGATCCGCTCACAAAGGGCTTACCACCCAACGTGTTCAGAGAACACGTAGCCGGCATGGGTTTAAGGGAAAGCCTATGATTCCCGAACATACGAAGGACCCAAAGAAAGTTTACATTTCAAAATGGAAAAGTGTATTGTGGCTGTTAGTCTAACGGCACTAATTGCTGTGATGATGGGACAGTTCTATGCACTAATCTATGATGAGATAGGATGGAAGCAAGAAAAATATGAATTAAAAGTTTTGAGTATGAAATTAAAGAACGAAGAATAGATGAGAGATCAAAGGGGAGAATGTTAGGTTTGATCTCCCACCAGTTAGGCCCAACGGCCTTTTGGGCCTTGTTCTCACGCCCTGATCGGGGGCGCCAAACCCTACATGGTTGGTGGGCCCCCGTCGCACAACGCTATAAAGAAAAGGTGGGGGCCAGGACTCGTAGTACAAGGTTCACCACGCCGCCAGTCACCCCACCGACATCCTAACCCTAGACCCAATCTTGAGAAGGGGCGCTGCCAGCGACGGGAAGCACCACCGACGCCGGCAACGCCACCCCGACGCACATGCCGCCACCGAGGACGCCACAACGCCGACTCCCTCTCCACCGAACGTCGCTGCCGGCGCGCAGATGGCATCTGTCAACGAAACCCCGGCCGGAGCTTCGACCACTACGGCTTTCGATGGTTTGCTACCTATCACCCCCTTTCTCTCTATCTCTCTGTGAATCCCGAACACCTATTCTACTACTATGTATCCCGATCTGATGAATATGCCTAAAAAGAAAACTCTAACATATATATATGTATGTATGTATGTATGTATGTATGATCGAAAGGATAAGTTTCGTTTTGTCACTCTCCTGAAGCCCGGCAGATCCTGGGGCCACTTGTTCTGGAACACAAGCTCGCCGTCGGCCACGGCGGCCGGCGGCGGCGGCTCGCGAGAGACGAGGTCGAACACCTCCTTCCAGTCCCTCACGTTCTTGGTGTGCTCCGACTCGTAGTACCCGAGCGGCTCCGCCTCGCTCCTCCGCACGGCGGCCTTCCGCTCCGGCGGCAGCGCGAAGAAGGCGCGCTGCGCCGCCGTCGCGCTCGCCACGGTCTCCGCGGGCACGCCGTGGCCCACCACCACGAAGAAGCCCCAGTCTCGGCTCGCCGCGCCCACCTCGGCGGCCAGCGCGTCCACCGCGGCCGCGTCGCCGCCATCGGCGATGAGAGGCGAGAGGTCGATGAGAGGGATGCCGGTGGCCTCAGTCATAGTGGGCTTCGGGCGGTGCTCGGGGGCCTGCACGAAGGCCTGGTCCATGGTGAGGCCGCCCATGGCGATCACGTTGCACCGTGGGAAGGTTGTGTGAGGCTGTGATGTCTTGGCTACTTCGCGCCTGTGCGATAGTGAGGCTGGGGCCCTGTGATGAGGTGGTTAAATGTGACGTTTGGCCTGGTTGGATTCAATGAATCTGGATGGATTTTTAGGTGAATCTTGTTTTCTAGCACTTCTTCCATTTAATTGGCTGATGTGTCCATGTACACAAGCTGATGAGTGTACTCCCTCGCTAAAAAAACACAATTCTAGTTTTGAACCTGGACACACGTACTAGCTTTGAACCTGCACACGTACGTGTTTAGGTTCAAAGCTAGAATTATGTTTTTTTTCGAACAGAGAGAGTACTGAACAAACTTTGTGTTGTTTTGATCGATGGTGCGGTTGTACTTGGTGTGTTCTAGTAGTATGTGTGACGTCACTGATGATTGAAGGATCCGGATCCACTATAGCCCAAGGGTGGGATGTTATACTCGTATGATATGAGGCTTTTGTACTAGCACAAGAGTTATGGAGAAGCAAAACTTTTTTTTCTTTGGCTATATACTAGCGCCTGCGCGTGTGCACACGGAAATGCACGTTCCTGCTTACTTCTCTTTGCGTTATTTTCTCCTCACCACTGGAAAAAATTTAGGTGACGTTTGGTTCCACGACCGGAAGGGTAACGCGAATGGAACGGATCCCATAAGGGAACGGAAAGGGAAACGATTATTACCTTTTCTGTTTGGTTGGTCATCGTTGTTTTCATGGTAGCGAGCGGGACCGACTAACACTAACCATCGGGCGTGAACGGATGGCTGAAGGCTCGGACCTATTCCCAAACCAATCGTTTCCATCGTACGTCTAACAAACAGGAACTAACGTAACCCGATAGCGCTGTGATCGGGTCACACCGAGAAACGATTTAACCAAACAACACCTTAGTGAGGATGATCCCATACCATGGTACCTACCATGGATTCACGACATCTGTCATGCGCATGTATCTAACATATAGGATTGTTGCTTAAATTTAGGAGAAATAGTTACAAATAAAAATTATAACTCTCTTCTGCGTTTGGTTCATACACATGTCGTGAGTCCACAACAGGTGCTCATGGTTGTTCCATAGGGATTGTCCTCATTGAATTTTTGCCCTCACCACACCCCACCCCACCTCCAAGTCTCCTACCTCGATCGGGAGTCGCCGCCCTCACAGTCACAGCTACCTAGCCCGTGACTGCAACCGCTGCTAATCTTAGTGTCTTCTTTGTCCCTTGCTAGAGTGCGCCCGCCTCCCACCACCTTTGACAATGTAGCGCCTCCTTTGCCACCACCTTCCTCCGCCGTCGTCACTAATCTTAGTCGTTACGTCTTCTTCATCTTTTGATCGATGCCCTCGCCGTCTACACTGCCCAATCAGCGTCTCCCACCAACCAACGGACGACGCCCCCACTACCCCCGCCCTCCACCGTTGTCTCTACCACTACCACCATCGATCGGTCAAAGAGGTGAAGAACCACTTTAATGGAATCTTGACTTGGAGAACGAAGCACCTTGTGATCAAGCCAGTTCATAGATAACCACTCATAGAACAATCAGGGGCTAAAACACAAGCTTCATGGGAGGCTAAACCATCTGCAACCCTGTTACATGTTCTATTACAGATAGAGACTTTACAAGAATTGAAGTCATACACCATATGGTCTCTAATCTGATGGATTAATGAACCAATCGTGCTTCTATCCTTCTCTGTTGAAGATAGAGCCAATGCTAAGGTTGTAGCATCTGTTTCCAGAATGATATGCATCATGCCAAGATGTGTTGCCTGGATTCCTTGGAGGGCCGCCATTGCTTCAGTTTACAAAGCAGAAGCCGCATATATCATATTATCAGCGCCAGCTGCAAGCACATCCCCACGTGTATCCCTAATCACAAAGCCTCGGCCTCCTGTTCTTGTTTGTTGGTAAAAGGCACTGTCAATATTGATTTTGTAATTGTCAATAGGTGGTGGCTTCCACGAGCATGGTACAACTTTTTTTATAGACTGACCTGTATTGTTCAATCTCTCAAATTCTAGCATATGGTACAGTATAGAATTCTGAATTTCTGATGCACTCATAAGCCTATGGCCTTCGTTTACCTTATTCCTTGCCGACCACCATCTTCACAACAACACTATCACCTTTAAATGTACAGATTTTTTCAGAGACAAGATCATGTGGACAGTTTCCCTCCCTGATTGACATCCTATTAACATTACCCTGTGTTCTTCCATATTCAATAGCCGCCAATAGTGTTTCAAAAAAATATGGCCGCAATCTTCGTCCAGTCTATTGCAAACCGGACATAGGGTGTCTGTTTTAATTCCTCGACGGGCCAAATTTCTTCTTACAGGAAGACTGTTGTGGGCTAAACGCCAAATAAACATCTGGACCTTGTTGGGGACTTTTAGTTACCAAATCTTATGCCATTGGAATTCGCCTTCCCTATTAATTACAGTCCGAGATGTAGAAGCATCCATGTGGGCAAGTGCGTCTCTTCTAGCCACAACTAACTTATAAGCCGATTTAACGGAGAAAAGTCCCTTTGAATCAAAGTGCCAAGCTTGCCAATCTTCCATTTGATCATCAATAGGAATCCTAAGAATCTCATTTGCATCTTCTGACCAAACTGTATCATGTACTAGTTGCACATCCCATCCACCAGTTATTGGATTAATTAACTCATCCACTCTCCTTAGCAAAGAAGCACGCCTTAGTGTATTCGGCCTTCTGGTAGTATCTTTAGGTAGCCATGGGTCCTCCCAGGTTTTAACCTTTTCTCCGCTGCCAATTCTCCAAATCAAGCCTTCCTTTTGTAATTCCCGCCCTGTTCAGTATACTTCTCACAGCATATGGGCGACAACTGAGAATATCTGACTGAGGGAAGTATTTTAAGTCCGGCTGATACTGGTTTGTTGTGAGAGAAAAACACTGTTGGCTGACTGATAAGCTCTAGCTGAAACCAACGAGCGAACAAGCTGAATGTATCAGGATCTGTGAGTAGTCGTCTACGTAACATGGCCATATTGAAAAGATGCAAATCCCTGAATTCTAGGCCACCCTTTTTCTTGGGTCTAGTCAGCTTCTCCCAACTCAAGACAAAAATAATAAAATCCACAGGCCTTGAGGGCTTGAGGTAGCTGGAAACAGGGCATCATGATGGCAAGCCGAAACGCCACCATAAGGTGGCAGTTTGGCGTCCATTTCTCCCGATCGATCAGCAAGAACCGGGACAGCAAACAGCGAGTGAGAGACGTTCCGGGCCGCTTTTCGGAGCATGATGCCCAACTCCCCAGCTTGTCTCCATGCCTCCGGTTGAGCCGTGTCCTCCCCTCACGCCTCACCAACAGTCACCCGTGCACCCGGTCCCCGTCGAGTCCTTGCTGAATGCTGAGTGAGCATCAATGACAGGGAGACAAGCTACCGTATGCGCTGCTGCTGTCACACCAAAAACTTCCCTTTGCACCGGCCGATCTGTATGCACCGGCTGGCCTGGCCCTCCCCTGTTCATGGATCGACTGGCGATGACTGACGTGTCTGCATGCCCCTGACACTCTAGCTAGTATGGGCCTGGTGACATGCATGCTGGTAGCAATGGCGAAAAGATTTTTAATTTAATTTGTTTATGTGTGTGATAGTGTGCTTAGGTTGGAGGCAACGCGTACCAGTGCCGGGCGGGCGGAGGGACGGCAACGTCTCGGTGGCGCAGGAGACGAGCGGCCGCGACGGCGAGCGTGAAGCAGCTGAACCAGATCTTCGGCGCCAAGGGCTGAGCCAGTCGGACATGGTCGCCCTCTCGGGGGCGCACACGATCGGGATGTCGCAGTGCAGCTCCTTCAATTCAGGAGCTGGCTTTACGCGTACGGGCCCAACGCCGGCGGGCAGGACCCCAGGTACGTGCCGGCGGGCAGATGGTGCCACTGGACCCCATGACGCCGACGGCCTTCGACACCAACTACTACGCCGCCATCATCATATCGTCGCCAACCGCGGCCTGCTCAGCTCCGACCAGGCGCTGCTGAGCGGCCCGACCACGGCGGCACAGCACAGGTGATCGGCTACACCAACAACTAGCCCGGAGACGTTCCAGGCCGACTTCGCCGCCGCCATGGTCAAGATATGGGCGCCGCCGGCAGCATCCGGACCAACTGCAGGGTGGCAAACTGAATGGGCGCATTTGGACGTACGTGTACGTACGATGTAGAGTGTTAGGGTGGTGTGGTCTCTGATAATGTTCTCCGGTTCTATAGATTTGTACTTCTGCACGCCCTACGACGCTAGATATAGCTTAGAGCAAGGTTAATAATATAGCCAACTGCTGGTTGTATAGAAACTTACAGCCAATCTATCAGCCTCACTTGTATAATAGTTAGTCGGCTTACAGCCCACTTGTCTGCATAAACTCGCTTCTCTTCTCTTTCCTCTCCTCTCTCCTCCACATCAGCATACAACCTGCCTACAGCCTCTTATAATCCTTGCTCTTAGCTCGTGCGTCTGTAGCTTTTCTTTTCTCCTCCTTTTTTTTGGGTATGTAATATAGCTTTGCTCATTCTTTTGGCCTGTGTACTTCTTGCCTGCCTATGGTTGTGACAAGGATACCATGATAGTGCTCAATAAAAGGCTGCTACAAACAAGTCATTGTAACCTCTCCATGTGTACAGTGTACCTCGCTACCTGCGTCCCCTGTCCACAAGCCCTCAAGTGCATACTCAGTCTATTCGGTTGGCTGGTTCGTAAAGAAGTACTACTGGCTGGTTTGTGTGAGAGAAAAATACTATTTCGACTAAAAATTTACGATCATTTATGACAAGCCACGGCCAAACAAACAGGCTGACTAGCTAGACAGAGGATACGAACCAACCGCTGCTCCAAGTATTCGTTCACTATGGTCGCGTTTGGTTTCCTGCTGGATGCAGCCCAACCAGGCTCCTCGCGTGCATCTAGCGCATGATTGGTTGGCTGTGCTAGCCACTGGGC